TAATGCAAACTAGATGAGATGATGATCTAGATCAAAATCTTTAATAGCAGGAAAATGATAGATGATGAAGTAGAATACTTAATACATTTATTTGTTGAACGTAAATTTTATCTCTTTTGGAAGAAACGTGTTCTAATTTTTTTATTTTATTTTCTTATAAATTACAATTTGTCTAAATAGAAAGACATTGAGTAATTAGTTTGACAAATAACATAGAATTTTTTAACAAAAACCCAGTGGTTCACCTTTTATTAATGTACTAAATTATATCTTAATTAACTTTTGGTATAGCTATTTGCTATCCTGATATTGTCGAAAAGTCTCTTGAAAAAAGCCGATAGTTGTTTGAAAACTGTTGTAGGAATTCAATAACCCAAACAAAATTTTACTTGAATTACAAAGCAGAACAAATATTTTGTATAAAAATTATCACACGCAATTAACACCACATGTTTAATAAATGTGCTAATCTTAATCTTGCAAATAATAAATTGCATACTAAAGTGAGTTTTAATCTTACGATTTGAAAAGTGATAGTAATTTTAATTGCAGCAAATATAATAAAAATAATAATATATCTGATAATACGATGTAAATTGCATAGAAACGTGAAATCATTAATTTTATTGCGGCGAGTAATCAATCTGATATTAGAACCAGCGATTTTATCATTAAAATAATCCATCATGTGCATATAGGCACTCAAACATCTTGATGTAATGCATTTTTATATAGTTTGTCTAAAAACAGTTATTTGCAGGATATGATTCATAGACTTTCCTAGATTGTAATTGCAAAACGCATTAAAGTAGTAGGACAGGTTGATTTTCTTGGAAAATTAATTGCAAGTATGATAATATTAAAAAATTAATTTGTACTATGTATTTACTTTCTTTTTCCTAAAAAGAGAATGCGTGTAAGGTTCACACGCGATTGAAGTAAAACTTATTTGCTACTGTACAAGATGGCATTTAAGTAAAAATAAATTGATCATATAACAACTTTGAATATTGTTTATTAGTAATATGGTAACACTCGTGATGCGCACATTTATTAGTGTCAGCCATTATAGACATTTATATAATAATAAATTATAAATTATATATTCATAATGGCATTAAAATTTACATGGTTCTTATAATGTTTATTTCATAAATTTATCAAAAAAAAACGTAACGAACAGACATAAAGACGAACATGTTGGTTGAGTTCTGGGACAACCCTGCACATGTATATTGGTAAATACTTTTATATTGGTAAAAAAATATAAATTGTATTTTTAAGCAAAATTTATTTTTGTTTTCTTAGTGCAATAATACCTATTTAGAATTTAAATTGTTTAATAAACTGCAAAATTTGTACTCGCAGCTGCAAAAATTAAATGTTGAGGTATGTCACGTACTTTGTCATGAATAAAATAATATTTAAAGAGTTGTTATAAGGATAAAAATGCATTTTATACAGTACCCGTATCAAAATTCTACTAACGATTATCATATAACATGTATTTCTTATAAGATGCTTGAATCATATTCACTAAACCTTATGCCTAAACCTTAAATTCTATGTTGTACGCCTTATAACTAACTATATAGTACGCCTAATACGCCTACGACCCTATTTACATAACACGCCCAATATTATTTCTTATCTTACACCTATAATGTTTCTAACGCTAATTTTTCCTAACCTTACCGAGAATCGAACCCGAGCCCTCTGCGTGACACGCAACGACCTTAACCACTACGCCACCGTGGCGCTGCGATTGGTCGCCTTTTTCCGCGTGTCGTTGCGTCGACTTAGTATTAATTAATTAATAGGTAAAGGTACCGCGGAAGAACAGTGCGTCTCTTAATATATTATTTGTGGGGGACCCAATAGAGTAGTGGTCAAGGCGCTCGACTGCCACGCGGTGGTCCGGGGTTCAATTCCCGGTGTGGGCGATAAACAATAGAGTATAGGGTAGAGACAATAGATAATAGATAAGAGTAAAAAAAAATATATATAGTGTAGGGTAGAGATAAAATAGATATATATAAAATATAGGGTGTAAATGGTAGTAAGTAAGGCTTGTAAGGGGTAAAAAGATATGTAGGTGGTATGTAATATATAATAGGTAGGTAGTAGGAAATAATGATGAAGCGATGACAATAGAGTATATACGGTAGAGACAATAGATAATAAATAGATAAGATTAAAATATAGCGTGTAAATGGTAGAATATAACGTATGTAAGAGGTAAAAAGATATGTAGGGTGTATGTTACATATAATAGGTTAATAGCAAATAATGATAAAGCGTAATAGATATTACATATAAATGTAGGAACTGATGGTCTTAGATAGATATTTATATTAAATTCGTTTAACGTATTGTAATAGATCTTGGATACTTTTATATCAACCATTGTATACCTTTATATAATGTGTATTTGTATGTGTGTATATTACCATTTATAATTAAATTCTACGCAAATCAAATGGTATGACTTCAAAGATTCAATGATTCATTCTATTTAAGGAATTCCTGATAAAAGGCTTGCAAAGAGTTGGGTTCACTCTTCGCTGAAAAATTAGCATACACTATGACTCTTTGAATAAAAAACCTGTATTTCCAGAAGTGTATAAAAACAAAGTCTGCACATCAAGTCAACTTAACAACTTAGTTCGTATTTGGTCTGGATTTTAACTTTCTTCACTTTTGAAATGAGAGCCTGTGTTTATGGTTCAAGATTTGCGGTTGTACTCGTTTACACTTGTGATTTTGGCCTGGTATGCAAATAACACTTTCGTTGTCTCTTGCGAGAGTTGGGATAAATGACTTATTCAAATATAAAATTATGTATTCATTCAATTCAAGTTACTTTAACACTCACTACACATGAGAATATAATGACCACCAAAATCTAATATTTATGATTCAGTATAAAAATTGAATTAAACTATTAATTTTCTTTGTTTAATTTTACAATTTTATACCCTAATTTTATTTTATATCCTAATAACTAATTTATCTTATATGCTTATAACAACATTACAAATTGAAAAAAAAATTTCATTATTATATTTCATAAAATTATATGAAAAAGTTTGATGGTTTGAAAAAATTTATTTAATCAATAATATTACATAAAGGAAATGTGAGTAATTAGGATTTTGTATATCTATTTTATGATAATAATACTATTCATTATTAAATAATAATTTAAAACACTATTGATAATACAAATTAAATTAAAAAAATTATATTGATAATTAAATTAAAAAGTTTGTTATTATAATAATTTGATTCAGTGCAAGAATGGCATGATCATTGTTATATAATATTTATGATTCATGTTATATAAAGTCTATCATTTTGGAACTTTTACCGTTATATTTTAATATTATTGTAATACAAAATATATTTGAACCTTCTTCATTGTTATGTTTTAAATATTTTTGGTAATACTAAATATTGAAATAAGTTATTTTTTATTTTATATAAAAGCAAAGTATAAATATATTAAAATAGTCAATGGAGTCAATTAGGAACTTGAATGAAGGAGTTAAAGAAATTGGGTCAATTATGAACATTAACTTTTTGAGGCATATAATTTTTATATCATTAATTAGTTAAGTATTAATAAATATTTATAATTTTTTTTTATTTCTAAAAATTTTCATTTATTTTTAAAATATTTATTATTTAAAATATTTAATATTTTCATATATATTTTTCATAATCTTTAGTAAATAAATATTATTTTAATATTATAGGTCTGTGAGAGCTAAAGTACGATTGATATTAGAAACACAAGAGTTTTAGGATATCTAATTTAAATTAACTTAATAATTCTCTAAATGTGAATTAAGTTTTTTTTAATATTAGTAATACAAATATGTTCAAGCTTCTTAATTTTTTACGTTTTAATATATTTTTTCCTAATATTTAGTAAACAAGTCTTCAAGGGTTTTAGGATATATAATTTAAATTAACTTAATACTTATATACATGTAAGTTTAAGTTTTTTTTTTCATATTAGTAATATAAATATGTTCAAACTTTTTATTTTTTACGTTTAAATTTTTTTTTAGTAATATTAAATAAAGCAAGTGTTCTTTTGCTATTATGGGTTGGCAAAAATTTGAATATTAATATAAAAATTGTATTTTTTTGCAATGTTTGTATATATGGCATATTATTTTTATTAAATTATTAGTTTTCAATATACGTCCCTTATTAGCATTTTGTTATTATTTTTTATTTTATACTATTTTATTATATACAATCTCAAAACATCTGGTAACTCGTACACTTTTATGCTCATGATTATCTTATTGATTTTCAATATATATGCTTCATAAAAATTTTGATTTTATTATTCTTAATGACACTATAAACTACTTTAAAAAATCTAGTAACTTATATACTACATCTATTTAATATTTTTACAATATTTTCAGAAATTGCATAAAATATCAGAATGAACAGCTTTTCTTTAAAAATAAATAAAGGCTCGTTTTTAATCATCACATTAACTTTTTGTACATGAGTGGCCTTTCTTCTTCTTTGAACTTATAGTTCTATTTTCTTTCAAATAAGCAATTCATATTTTCCTTAATTTCTATCCAACTTAAATGGCCATTTTGTGTTAGTGCCAAGGACTAGAACCGATTATCTCTGGGGTGTGAGTTGGGTATGCTACCGACTTAGCTATTCCCGCCATATTTTTGAAATAGTAACAAACATTGTATTTTTTATCATGGTTGTAATTTTTCAATATTTTCAATTTTTCAATGTTTCTGTTTTATAGCCATGACATTACTCTTGATGAAGAGAAATTGTCTAGCATAACTTTTTCCAATGTGCTTATTACTAAAATCTTATACCATCTTCGTAATTACATCAATATCATTTCATTATTCTGATTTGCAACGAAATCAAATAAGTTTCACTTTAAAATTTCTTTCCCACCACTCAACACCATAGTTGTTTGCAACAGTTGAACGAAGTCATCCATGAAGAAGAGTCGCTGCCACAACTCTCCATCTGGCCACTCAGTCAGTCTTAAAATAAACTCCGGTCCGGTCGTAATTAAAAATTTTGGAAATTGTATTATCAATTATCAATTATCACCTGTATTATTTTTCTTACCTTCGCTCGCTCTCTGCAAAAGTTGTCCGTAGTATGTGATCGGCAGTGAACATTTGATATTATAAGAACTACGCGCTTGGTTATACGTGCCGCAGAAAGCCAGCGGCCTCATATCGCATAAGTTGGGAAAATTAACACTCGAACGCGCCGAAGTTTATGACTGTTTGTTAAAATTGTAATTTTTTTATATTTGTGGTGGGTTTGTAAAAGTGCTAAAAGACTATTCTCAAAGGTGGTTTATTCAGAAATTAAGTTAAGGATTATAAGTTTGAGAAGTATTGATACTTGTTGTTGTTGAGGCTGCTGCTCGTGTGTTGTTTTACTGTTGGATTGAAGTTTAAAAGCCGGTAAGTCGATGATGAATTTGTATTTGATGTAATTTTTGTAGGACCTAGGACAAGATTTATGAAAATATATTTTTTGTATTATATAGAGTGATAAATTTGTGATGGTTGAGTGCTTAACGATAAAATTTTATTTAGATATAAAACTTTTCATGGAGTGGCCCACAGGGGTGATCTCCGTCATGTCATATATATAGAACTCCATTACTGTTATTGGAGTTCTAACAATCAACACAATAGCTTATAGATTTTTTTTTCGATTGTTATTCAATTATTGTAAAAAAAAACTTTTGCATTCCCTTCATAATTAGTTAGAAATTGCCAGTTTGTGGTTTATCGTAGTTTTAAAGTATAGGGAGGTTGCAAATAATAAATTCGGGATAAAACAATTTAGATAAATAGGTTTATAAAGAGATAAACTTTCTATTATGTAAAGTAATAGATTTTTGATTTTTGTGTGATTAACTATTTGCGATGATAAAATTCTATTTAAAAATACAAAATTTTTGCGGTTGCTTCATAATTAGTTAGAAATTGTCATTTATCGTAGTTGTAGTTGTAAAGGATTGTGAGTTTGCAAAAAAATAAATTTTGAATAAATAATTCAAACAAATAAGTTTATGAAGAGATAAACTTTCCATTATGTAGAGTGATAAATTTGTGATTTTTGTGCGTTTAACGATTTGCAATGGCAAAATTCTATTTGAAAATTTAAAATTATTGCGTTAGTTTCATAATTAGTTAAAAATTGTCAGTTTGTGGTTGTAGTCGTAGTTGTAAAGTACAGTGAGTTTGCAAAAATATAAATTTGGGATAAACAATTCGAAAAACATGATGCTAAGAATTAGAATTATTATCAATAACAAAAGTAAGAAAATAATAATAACAATAATAATAATTGAATAAATATAGTGAATGAATAAAATCACAAAAATATAAAACTTACAATATAAATTTAAATATAATGACTGTTAACTAAATTAAAGTTTTTTTTTACTTTTTAAATTCAGCACATTTATTTATTGAATCTATTTATTAAATAGATTTTATGTTAGCAAATAATTCGGTTATTGAAGAAGTTTACGATGAGCTCTTGAAGCCTAAAAAATCTTAAGTCACCCGTTATAAAAATATTAACGAGTATTAATGAATTATAATTAATTACTACTTGTGATTTTTGTGTGTCCAACTGTTTTTTTTAATTTCAATAATTAAATTATTTTTAAAGATATGAAATATTAAATTAGCATTATAAATAACTAGAAATTAAGTCAGCTTGTAAAAAGAAATTTCAAAAATATATTATTCACACAAAACAAGATTTTTTTTAGTCTCTTCTGTAGATACAATTTTATATCAACAATTAATTCTATTTATTGTCCAAGATGAACCTACATCGTGAATTTAAGTGTAATGTTATAAAAATCCTTTAGTTCACCTTTGCATAGTATTCAAAAAAATGTCTTTGTTTTATGATGAATTTATAAATATTAAAACATTGTTATAAAAATGTTATTTCGTATTGATAAATTATAACTAAATACTACTTGTGATTTTTATCTAATGGTTGATTAATTTCAATAAATAAATCATTCTTAAAAATTTAAAATTTTAAATTGGCTTGTTACTTAATTAAAAATTAAGTAGTAAAGTATTGAGAAATTGCAAAAATATATTTTTTTCAAATGAATTTTAAATATTTTATTTCTTTCTCTTCTTAATTACAATCTGTCTTATACAAAAAAAGACATTCATTAATTTTTGGGATTTGTGGGTAATTAACATCTATTCTAAAAGGTTACTCAATAGTAAGCCATTTAAACGTTGATAAATGAATGAAATAAAATTGCTGTTATATGAAAATTTTAAAATTTTCTCTAAACAAGAATTTTTTTAGTCTTCTCTGTGTATACAGTTTTATATTGGCTAATCATTTTATTTATTGTCCAAGAAAAATCTACATCGTAAATGTTATAAAAATCCTTTAGTTCGCGCCTTTGGTTTATGATGAATTTATAAAAATTTGTTATACTGTTATAAAAGTTTTAACTAGTGTTGATAAACTATATCTAAATACTAATTGATTTTTTTGTGTCTAATGGTTAATTAATTTCAATAATTAAATTATTCTTAAAATAATAAAATTTTAAATTGGCTTTGTAAATACTAAAAAATTAAATCATGTTGTAGTAAAGTTTTAAAAAATTGCGAAAATATAAATTTGCACCAAACAATCTTTTATGTATTTTCTGTGTATCTTTACAATTTTATAACAAATCATTTCATTTTTTGTTAGTGGCGAACCTGCATCATAAATTTAAGTGTTATATCTTTTATTATAAAAATCCTTTATTTCACCTTTGTATAACATTCAAAAAAATATGTCTTTGGCATATGATGTTCAGCCGAGCAAAAAAAATTAATTTAAGATTAGGACGCTTTGCAAAGTTATGACTTAAATTTATGCAAATAGTCTTGAGATTGTTTAGTCAGATGAAATCTGAAATCGTTGTTGAAAATCTTACAATAGTATACATTTTATTTTCTGACTCATTCAAAATTATTCCACAAAAATGCTATATTAGTGATTAATTTAATATTGCGAATAATCTTTGCTAGTTTGATATAATTGCAAATTAAAATTTAATGTTAAAATTTCACTCATTCGTGAACTGCTTTATGAGAATTTGAATTAAAATATGATTCGAATAAAAAAAACATCTATTATTATTTATTCTATGTTATATTAATATTTTTATGAAATTAAATTTCATCAAATAAAATTTTAACCTGATATATTTTATTATTGTGTATATCCTTGTAAGAAATGGATACAAATTAAATTGTGCATTTAATTAATAATGCATATGGTATTGCTCAAGCATAATACTCGCAGATTAAATTGATTATGAAACAAGGAAACGGATATGTTTATATGTTTTTATGAACACATTTAATGATTTCTGTTAAATATATAAAAACATAATTATTTATAGTTGTGATTCATATGGACATTATTTAAACGATACAAATCTTAGATAAATTCGTTTCAAATGTATTTCTGAAAATTATTAGTTCAAATATGATTTATTTTTGCCATTGTTTTTAAAACAAAAATTTTCTACTAATACAAGTAGTTCTAAATAAAATTGTGTCACTCTATAAATAAGATATTCAGCAATTACTTAGACAAAAGTAATATCCAGAATATCTAATTATTAATATTAATTTCTGCTTAATGAACTCAAATATTTTTTTACTCGATTAATTCCAACAGAAAAAAGATCTTATTTTAAACAGGAATTATTACAAAAGTAGTTCTAACAGTAATAATAAACAATAATGGTACACATAACTTGTTAAATTAATCCTATTATTATAATAATAGACATGATAATAAGTATGGTTAATATAAATAATAAAAGTAATTAAATAATCATGATAATAAATATAATTAAATTATTTGAAAATAATAACAACAATGTCTGAAAAAAAATCATCAAATAAAAAGCAAAATAAATATAAAAATTTTAACATAAATATAATTTAATAAATATTTAGTATTAACTAATAGAAGTTTTTCATCTTATATATTCAGCTCATGTTAATTTTATTTTCAATAAATAATATAAAAAATATCTGTTAATGTGAAATACTGAATTCGATATCAAAGTCAGATCTTTCGTACAATTTTGATTATTCCCCAATTTCAAAATATTGCGAAAATCATTCTCGGTAATATCAATTTCTTCATAATTTTAAATCATGTACAATGTAATAAAATTACGAATGCCTGAGAAAAATTCACGTCGCATTATTTTCGCCTTATTGCGTTTTATTTAAAATCATCCGCATTAATTAAAATTAATAATATCGCGGTCGCTTCTCGTAATTATGAGAAAGTTTTATAATACAGAGTCTGTTTCTGGAGCATTAGGTATATTGCTCTACCTATAATAATGTTCAGTACAAAAATGATTTTATAAGCGTGCAAAGTTTAATTTTTATAATCCTTATGTAACTCTAATTAAAAATTATGGTTATTGCACTGTAACAATGAGGAAGTTTCCTCGTTCTGCTTTATATTAAATCGTGTTTTTTCTTGCGGACCGCGTTTGAAAAGTTAATCGCTTAATACGCGTCTTTCAGATGAAGTAAATTTTAAATAAAAATTGAGAATTATATGTATTATGAATTCAATGAGTTTTATTAATTATATTTTAAATAAATTGATATTAATTACAGTCAACATGCTCTTGTAAAATCTCAACATATTATTATTGTTTCTTAATATATTTCACTTCAATTTGGCCAACCTGATTCAAGTTTTAATAAAAACTTTTCAACTTTATCTCAATACTGAAACTCTTCAAGTTGTCTATCTGCTGGAAAAACTGATTTTAGTCATATGTATAAGATTCTATTTATATATTTCTCTACTTTAGCCATCTGCAAAAGCCCTAAAATGTACATTTTTCCTGATAAATTAATTGAAACAACTTTCAAGCTATATCGTGTAAATATAAATTAGAATATCTCCAAGAAGTTGATGCTCAGGTCTTGTAACATATTTTTTTAATATCGAATCTATTTTTTAATATCGAATCTATTTTCTAATATGGGCAGTACTCCGATCACAATATTAATTTATCATATAAATTCATACATCAATCATTTAATTATATAAAGATACATATTATATCATAAATAATTTATTTTAAAAAACTGTTTCAAAGTTATGAATTTATTTTCATATTACAGTTTACACAAAACAAGGCATTAAAATATATGGTTTCTTCTGTGTTGTCATATTTGTTGCATGTTGATATATTCCTGCAATTATATATATATATATATATATATATATATATGTTGCATAAACTGACAATAACAACAAAATGACAACTTAAATTTTACGATTACGTTTATTATTCTAAACAATTTACATGTTGACTCAACACGTCGTTTATTTGGAATTGCCCTATTGTTATTCGCGAAATAAC